GATGAGGGCTCAGGGAGGGGAAGGGGGCTCAGTGAGGGGATGGGGGCTCAGTGGGGGATGAGGGTTCTGTGAGGGGATAAGAGCTCCGTGAGGGGATGAGGGCTTGTTGTGGGGATGGGGGCCCAGCGGTTGATGGGAGCTCAGTGGGGGACTGGGACTCAGTGAGGGGATGAGGGCTTATTGTGGGGATGGGGGTCGGCGAGGAGAGGAGAGCTCTGAGGGGATGAGGGCTTCTTGTGGGGACCGGGGGTCAGTGGTTGATGGGAGCTCAGTGAGGGATTTGGGCTCAGTGAGGGGATCGAGGCTCAGTGAGAGGAGGATTCAGTGAGGGGATGGGGGTTCAGCGGTGGACGGGGGTTCAGCCAGGGATGGGGGCTCCATGAGGGGATGAAGTCTTATTGAAGGGATGGGTGCTCAGTGAAAGGATAGGGGTTCGGAAGGGGATGGAGGTTCAGCGGGGGATGGGGGTGCAGTGGGGGATTGGGGCTCAGTGAGAGAATGGGTTCAGTGAAGGACGAGGGCTCAGTGAGGCTCTCATGTGAGTGGAGGGTGGGGGTCAGTGAGGGGGCAGCTGGAGGGCCAGGGCTCAGGAAGGAGGAAGGGGCCTCGCCACAGAAGAGGTCCAGGGAAGGACAGGAGAGCTCAGAGCTGTGGAAGGGCCTGGGTATTCAGCTCCTTCTGGCCACTGGCCTACCAGCAGAGAGCCCTCCCCTCTATTCTTTTTCCATTGAACAAATAGTTGTTAAAGGGACGGAACTGTCATAAAATCCACACCCGTTCCTCTCTCCACTCTGTGCCCATCTGTCTTTATCTTCACTGGGGCAGACAATGACCACTCAGGCACCCGGGGCTGAGTCATTAGCCTTCAGCCCAGACAGCTGGCTCTGGGGTGCAGAGGACCCCCCAGTCCCAGCAAGAGCCTGGGAGGTGCAGTGGGGGCAGGGGAGTGAGGAAGGGAGGTACAGGAGGGGAGCAGGCAGGGGCTTTGAGTTGAGGGAAGACTGGCTGCCACTGGGGGTCTGAGCAGTAGACAAAGTCCCCTTCTCATGAGGGTGGGGAGACTGGCCTCGACACCCACCCCCAGCCCTGGCAGTCAGTGGATATCTCTGAAACCTTCAGGGGGACAGCAGCTCTGAAAGATGTGGGCCAGAGAAAAGGGGCTCCCACAAGGGCAGCTTGAGGCAAGCGTGGCTGGGAATCTGGCAGGGCCAGGGGTGGGCAGGTGGCAGGGCAGGGTGCCAAGGCCTGAGAACTGAGGATCCATGGAGGCTCCAGTGCCTGGGGATCTGGGCCCAGGTGAGTTTGATCTGCCCAGTCCTTCTCTCCATTCTTGTCCAGGGCCACTAAGATGATGGGGCTCTCACCGAGACTGGGTTTCCATTGTCAGACTCTCCCTCCACAGTGAGAGTGTCACCCGGGTCGTCAGCATGACTGGTCTGAAATCAACCTGACCCATTCTTTGCCCTGCTCAAATTCCTCCCAGGGCCCCACTGCCAGCAGGTTCGAGCCCAGCTTCTCAGGGCCCTGGCTACAGTTTAGTCTTGCTCTCTGCTGTCCAGTCACACCAGCCTCTTTGTGGTTGTTTCAGCAGACACAATCTTCTCTCCTCCCAGCCTTTGCTCATGCAGTTCCCTCTACCCGCACATACTTTCCTGTCTGCCTTGATAACCCCTGCACACCCTTCAGGACTCAACTCAGGCATCTCCTCCTTCTCTGACTCCACTCTCATCCTGCACCTGAGTAAGCTGGGCATGCTTTTCCTCCCTTTGTCAAGCCCTGGTCTCCTCATTCAAGTGTGGGTCTGTATGTCAGTCTCCAAATGACACTGGCCTCCGTAGGTCAGGCATGTGTCCGGCTCCTCTTCTCATCTCAGCCCTCAGTACTGAACCTGACCCAAAAGGACCCGGTGGAATGAAAGATGTTAAGTAGAATGCTTCCATCTGGTTTTTAGTCTAGAACACTTATTCTTGCTCTGGTATGGAAGATGGATTTAAGAGACCTAGACAGGAGGCCAGAGGCTAGGGGAGAGGCTGATTCAGGGTTCAGGGGAAAGGTATCTCCACTTGAGCTGGGCAGTGGCTTAAGAATAGAGGGCAGGGGACAGTTGTGAGAGATACAGGGGAGGTGACTCACTAAGTGGATGGGGGAGGTGAGGAAAGGGAGGTAGCTAGGACTGATTTGGACGAGCTGCAAAGGACCTGGTGGATGGCTGTGCCACTTTAGGGAGATAATAAGTTCAGATTGGGGTGGGATACCTTGGGGCACCTCAGGGACGGCTCCAGGTGACCTTAGGGTATCTGGGGTCTGGAGCTCATGAGTGAGGGGCAGAGTCGTGAGGCCATGAGCACAGAAGAGGGAGTTTTGTGCAGAAAAGAGGAAAGGCTGAGGACAGAGTCCATCATCAGGGTCCTGAGAGAGAGGCCAGGGCAGCCTGGGTCTAGGGGTGGGGAGATCGGGGTCGCCGGGATGAGGCAGCGCTTGCTGACCAGCACCTCAGGGACCAGCGCCACCTTGTGGCCTCCTGATAACCAGATTGTTTGACCTAGGGTCACCCCCAGCCTCCACGAAGCCCAGCCTTCATCGGTTTAGTCATCAGGAAACACAGCTCCCATTGCCCTTCTGCCAGCCTAGGTTCCTATTCCTTCCTGGGGTCACCGGTAATCAGAATAGCCCAGAACTGGAGCCCAGCACTCGAGCAGCCTACAGGTCTCAGGTGTGAGAGTTAGAAGGTGGGAGACATTATTGCTTCTTATAGAGTCTGGACTGCCCAAAGGGGCCAGGAGGGAACAGGTCTGGTTCAGAATGCTGCATGACCTTGAAAAGATGCTCAGCCACTTTGGTCCTTGGTCTCACTAGTGTCTGTGACCCCCTGATCTGGTGACTTGCAGGGCGCCCTCTTTTCCTCATCTGACCTTTGCTGGGCTTCCCTTGGTGACCCTACATGCACACGCCAGAGCACCCACCCCACAAACTTCTCTTCCGTCCAAGTCAGGCAGTTCCTGCAAGCACAATTAACTGGAGGCAGCATGGGGAATGAGGAACCCAGGACAATTAATCATCAAGGAGTGACATTTGGTGAACACTCATGTGCTTAATTAAGCATGAAGAGCCAAAGGCCAGGGTGGTGGTGGTACGGGTGAGGGGGGCAAAGAGAAACGCATTCTTCCCACACCAGCCTCCCCTGCCTCTCACTTCCCACTGCCCCTCCCCCACAGCCACACCCAGACACTCACGCAGTCCCCTGTTCAAGACTCACACTCCCAGAAATCTTTGGGAAGGCTTAGACATAGTGTCTAGACCTAGCTCTGGGGTCACCTCCCTGGGTTCAAATCCTGGCTCTACCACTTCTTAGCTGTGTGACCTCAGGCAGTTCACTCACCCTCTCAGGGCCTTAACTTCTCCACCTGAAAATGGGGATGACGATCATATCTAACTCATAGAGGTGCTGGGAATCCTGAGTTAATCAGTGTAAGTTGCTTGGACTGTGCATGGCACACAGAAGATTTCCAATACATTTACAATGATCACCTCTGGAGGTCTCCCTACGTGCTTAGCACAGGTCACTCTGGAATTGCTTTCTGAGGATGGTCATGAGGAAGGTTTTATTCTCCCTGCCCTTCTCTGTGGGAGGCTCAGAAGGGTGAAGTCGCTTGCCTAAGGCCAGAGATCAGTGGCAGGATTCAACCTGGCAGCCTAGCTCAAAGCCCTGGTGTTCACTTTCTCTGTGTTCACTCCCTGTTCCCAGGGGATTTGCACCAGCCCCAGCATGCCTTTCCCACATCGACCAGCAAGGGGTGCCAGAGGCCAGACTGTGGCTGCCTGCCTCTCTACTTGGGGCTCAGGGTCCCCAACTCCTGTCTTTGCCATCCTTGTGTCCACCCTGAGGCAGGTCAACTTGTCCAGATCCTCACACATGAGCAGGGTCCAGCCTGCTGTGTGTCCCGAGGCAGGGCCTGCTCCTCTTTGATCCAGGGGCTCTCAAGGTGGGGGATCTGTCCTCTTTTCAGAGAGGCTGTGTGCTCCCGGAAGCGGCTGGGCTGCAATGGGCTGGGCCCCTCGGACCTGCCAGGGAAGCCCTTGGCCAGGCTGGTGGCTCCACTGGCTCCTGACACCCAAGGTAAGAGCTGGGAGCCGGGCAGGGGCAGGGAGGGTCTCTGGCCCCTGCGCCCCAGGTCATGTCTGTCTGCTACACATCTTCATCTCTGTTTCCTTCTTTCTCTTGCTCTGTGTCTCTAGCAATCCCTCCAGTTCTTTCTCTGTTGTGCTACTAAACTCTCTGAGCCTCGATTTCCTGACTATAAAATGGGAGTGACAGTGCCTCCCTTGAGGGGTCGTCTCAAGGAAGAGCAGATGAGATGAAGCATGTGAGGGCCCTGCACTTGCTAAGACTCGGCGGCCTGTGGCTGTGGCTGTGACATGCTTATGCCTGTGACTGGATGGGGCTGTGGCTGTTCTCATTCTCTCTCTGTCACTGTCTCTGTTTCTCTTCCTTTCCATGCCTCCTGTCTGCCATGTCTCTCTCTGCCTCGTGTCTCAGTCTCTCTAGGTCTCTGTCCTCTGTCTCGATGTGGAAAGTGCACAAGACTGGGAGTCAGGAGACCTGACTTGCTGTGTGATCTTGGGCAAGTCACTTCCCCTTTCTGAACCTCAGTTCCCCAATCTGTAAAACAGGGGTACTCAGCCTGACCTGCCTCCCTCCCTCCCAGGGTTGCTGGGAGGATTATGAGAAAGTTGCCAAGTGAGGGGGTTTCCTTCTACACAGGGGTCATTGCCGTGGTTGTCTTTGTGGCTGCCTCAGGACCCATCTCTCTGTCTCTCTGGGTCTCTGGGTCTCTCTGTGTCTCTGTCCCGGCCTTTCTCTGTCTGTGTCTTTGCTTCCCCCCCACCCCGGGTCCTGGCTCAGTCTCTCTGAGCCTCGCTGGCCCCACAGGACCACCTCATTGCCCTCTCCCCCTCAGTGCTGGTCATACCGCTGGTGGACAAGGAGGCCGGGGCTGTGGCAGCTGTCATCTTGGTAAGAGCCTGCCTGGGCGGTTGTGGGGTGGGATGTGGGGAGAGGAGACCAAGGGAGGGAGTCGGGGACGGAGCCTGTCTGGAGTTTGTGTGTGTGTGTGTGTGTGTGTGTGTGTGTGTGTGTGTGTGTGTGTGTGTGTGTGATGAGAGCTGCAAGCTAGGATAGAGTGAGGGGAAATAGGGGTCTGGGAGGTGTCTGGAGGTATCTCTCACACCTAGCCCCTGCCCCACCTTGAATGGGCAGGATGAAGTCACTCAGTCAACAACTTTCTGGGGGATGTGCCAGCTCCATGTGGACTCAGCCCTTGGGACTGCTCTAACCCTGGTTCCTCTCTGGGATCCTCCCAGATGCATGAAGGCAGGAAGGCATGAATGCAGTGAGGCGAGACAGATGGACATAAGGCACTGACCAATAGAGACGGTGTGGGAAACCCGGGTAGAGATTTGGAGCTGGAGCAAGGGGGCTTGAGGAGAGGAAGCTCAGGGGCAGGGGCTGCATGGGAAGGCATCAAGCCCAGCCGCACCCAGGGCTGAGGGGGAGTGGAAGCCAGGCAGCGAGGTGGACTTCCTGGAGGGGAAGGGAAGTAGGGGTTGCTCTGTGGGGCAGAGCTGGGCTGGGACCCCAGGCAGGGCTCCCTTTGGCCCTCTTCTGCCCCTGGCTAAGCTCCTGGGTTTCTGTCCCTCTGCGGGAGGTGTGGGAATGGCAGAGCCTTGAGTGGCCAGGTTCTGCTACTCTTCCAGTCTCTTCTCCCGAAAAATCCTTGTCTTGTCCTAGGAACCAAAGGGTGAACCCCCAGATTGCCATGACTGGGGGGCCTGCCTCCATAGAGATGTCAGCCACCCCCAATAAGGTGCAGGCTTAGGGGCATAGACAGATAGGTGAGCCGGCCTTGGTGTATCCAGGGACTTCTCCCAAGCTCATTAAAATGGAATTAAAGGCTTCCCAGGAGCCTGACCTTTCCTGAGCTGCTGGCAGTGGGAGTGGGGGTGACTGTGAGGCGGGAGAGGGAAAGGGAGGGAGGGGTGCTTGGCTTGGTTTCCTCCACACCCCATCTGTCTGACTGAGGGAGACAAGGCCCCAACTTGGTTTCTCCCCAAGCTGTTGCCCCCACCCCAGCTTCTGTTCCCATAGGGGGTGGATCTGCTGTTGACACAAAGTTCTCAGGGGGCCGCTCCTCCACCCTTACTGCCTATCTGTCCTGGAGTTGGTCGGCTTCCAGGAGGACCAGGGCAGGGGCAGTGTGCAGAGGTGGGGGTGGGGAGGCAGTGGCTGTGGCCTGGCCTCCTTCTCTGTTGAGGGAAAAGGGCGCAGGGCCCCCGGCTGCCTGAGAAGGGCTTCTTCAGGTTGAGGCCCTGTGGGCTGGATTCCCGGGAGGTGGGAATACCTGTTTGGAAGATACCTTGTGGGAAGGAGGATAGTTGTCATGACCGCTGCTCAGGATGGGCCAAGAGTCTAGGCTTCAGTCTTCTCCTGAGGGGAGGAAAGACGTGTGTGTGTGTGTGTGTGTGTGTGTGTGTGTGTGTGTGTGTGTGTGTGTTGGGGTCAGATCATTTAATCCAACTCACCCAGTAAAACCCTGCTCTGGGTCCTGTCCCTGGCTGGGTGCTCGGTCTAGGGGAAGGCAGGGACACCCTCAGGTCAAATGTGATAAACGTGCCAGCGGGTGCTCTGATGGCGGAGGACTGGGCAGCAAGAGGGAACTCACAGCGGAGACAGCATCTGCGTGGGGCTTTGGGACATAGATGGGAGGGCAGTAGGCAGAGAAGAAGGGACAGGGTATTCCAGGCACAAGTAAAACCGGCATGGCGAAAGGGTGGTGGTGTGTTGGGGGAAGAGTGTGATCCTGGTGAGGATGCGGTGCCTGTGGCTGTTCTCACGGGGCGCGCGCAGTTGAGGAAGATGCTACCTGGGGTTTGGCTGCCAGGAAAAACTTCTAGCACCCATCCCCTCACCTCCTCCGACATCCTAGGTGGTGCAGAGCTCCTGAAAGGTGTTTGGGTTATTCACACCTGTCTCTCCTCCAAGCCTACACCCTCTCACTCTTGTAGAAATGTACTTCCCCGGGACACCTTTCCCTAGGGTATATATATCTGACACAGCCTTTCCAGGCCACAGGCTCTCACATCCTCCTGGAGGCAACATGGGCAACCCCAGCTGCTACCAAGTCCTGAGGATAGAGGATGCAGATTGTAGAGGGGGTGTCCGATCTTTGGGGAGGGCCTCAATGAGCCCCATTATTCTCTCTGGGTCACTTGGTATGCATCCACCTACCCATCCTTCTCCTCACCCATCCATCAGTTGAACAACCATTTGAGTACCCACTGTGTGCCAGACATTGTGTGCTAGGTGCTGGAAACACGGGCGTGACCAAGACAGAGCAGACAGGCCCTGCTTTCACAGACCTCATAGTCTGGAGGGGTGCGGGTGACAGGGATGAAACAAGTGAGCAAAATAAGGACAGAATTGTACACGACAGCAAGTGTTGGCGAGGAAACCAGGGAGCCCTGTAAGGGTTTTGGCGCCTGGTGGAGACACCGCCATGGAGGGCTTTCTGAGGAAGGCGCCCTCTGGGTGCAGGGCTGCACTGCCAAGAACTGAGCCTTTGCTGCTGGCAGCTCCAGGCGCCTTGATTGTACATTCTTTGTGTGGAAAGAGTCCTTGACTCTCTTCTGCAATTCTGAGATAATAAGGCCCTTTGAGGAGTGGGTGGCACTTGGTCTCTGGCATTTGGTGCTTGATTTGTGCCCACTCTTTCCCCCAGCTGTGCCATCCACACTAGCTCCCGGTGTGGCGATGGGGCGTTCATGCCGTAAGCCACATCGAGCTTGGTGGGGGTGCTGTGCTGGGCTTTTAGCCCTCCTGACAGCCCCAGTGCCTGCTGCTGAATGTTCCCACTAGACCCCAGACACCCGCCCTGATTAGTAAGAACAGGTACAACTGTATGCTCCTGTTGGTGAACAAAAAACCCTGCGTGAGCGTGTTGGAGTGACTATGTGTTTGCGTTTGGGGCACCAGAAGCATGCCTGTGGCTCTTGAGTACGTGAACTTCAGTTTCCTGTGTCCAGGCATGAATGTGTAAGTGTGGATGGTGGAGACACTGTAAGTATGGGTGTGTGATGTCTTTGTGACTGGGACTGCACCGTGTGTGTGTGTGTGTGTGTGTGTGTGTGTGTGTGTGTGTGTGTGTCTCCATGGGACAGCATATGTGTGAGGGAGCTGAGGTTCTTCTTCATGAGAGTGTGTATGTGTGTGTGTGCACATACTAGGTGTGGACAGGTCGAGGCACTTGTTGCCCCCACAGCCCTAGAGGGGTCCCAGCCTTCTCTTCTCCTGAGAGATGGGACCAGGTAGAAGGAACAAGAACCACAGACTCCTCCATGTGCTAACAGCAAAATGCCCACATATTTATGTAAACCGTATGCAAATGAGCCACCACCCCAGCTTCTTCCACCCCCTGTCCTGTGGGTGTCATAGGTGGAGTCTCATCCAGAACTTCAATGTCGATACCATCCTTGCAGCCCCTAAGGTCTTCCTGCCTCCAGTCTTGCTCCTCCAATTCACCCTCCACCCTCCAGACGATAGCTTGCAGATGCCTAAGTCTGCCATGGCTCCCCAGTGCTCTCAGGCTAAAGTCCAATGTCTTAGCCTGGCACTCAAGGCCCTTCCCTCTGTGGCACCACTGACTGCACCCCTGTCAGTGCATCACACCACCGACCCCCCAGCACTACCAGGACAGCCTCCTGTCTGCAGTGTCCCTGTGCCTTCAGGCTCTACTTGCCCTCCTCATGCTTCAGAGGCAATTCAGAAAGCCTCCCAGATGTCCTCCCCGCTGAGCTGCCCACCTAGTCCACCCTCTCCTTCTTCCTCAGGTATGAGGTTCCACACCTCCCCCAGAAGCATCCCCCCACTCATCCTGCCCCAGCCAGACTGTGAGCTTCCCAAAAACCTGCTGGTCTCCTCCTCCCCATCTGCTCCTGGCAGGGGACGCAGAGCCGAGGCAGGCAGGGGCTGCTGAGTGGGGAGGGAGGATGATGACGGAGGGGCCCCCAGTGCAGGCCCCGTGGGGAGCACTGCAGTCGGTGAGCAGCTTTGAGTAGGCTCCGGAAGCTGGTGACACAGGCGGGGAGCCTTGCTGGCAGGGCCTGTAGTGGGCCCCTAGACTGCCACCCACCCTCTCATTTTCCTTGACAAGCACCCAAGTAGGGGTGGGGGAAGGGATGTCACAGAGTAGGAGAGATGGGCTGAGTTCCCTGGGGATTGGCACAGAGAGCTTGGAAAGGGACAGGATGGTGGGGGTGGGGGTAAGAGTGGATCTAGGGAAGGGAAGCAGTGGGCAGAGAAGGGGAGGGAGTGGGTGGTGCTGTCCTGACTGCCATTTTCTGCCATGTGATCCCGCCCAAGTTACTCAACGTTTCTGGGCCTTGGCTTATCCGCAGGGTGGAAGCTTGTATTAGATGGGTGAGAATCACATGGAAGGGAAAGCACCTCACTAACCCGCACACCTATTTATTCTTTTGTCCACCAAGCCTTCCCAGGGCAGATGCGGCACATCATACCTCTTCCTTGATCTCAGACTTAGGGGCAACTCAAACCCTGACCTAGAGAGGATGGCACTGGGAGGCCAAGGCTAACACCACTGATTCTATAATCAGGGCCCGAAGGGCACCATGGAACGGGAGATGGAGAGGGCTGTAAGGTCCCTCCATTCCCTGAACTATACACCCAGACTGTGCTGTGGATGGGGCAGTGACTTAATAGGCAGAGACAGAAAAGCCCCACCTCTTTGGATCAGCCCTGGGAGGCTTCCTGCAGGAGGGGATTTTCCTGGAGCTATCTGCCTGGTCAGAATGATGGGCTTATCACTGAGGTCCACAGACTGGAGTGTGTATGTGTTGGCTTGCACTGGTGTGTGCCGGGCATGGGGAGGGCATCTGGAAGATACAGAGGCCGGGGGAAGTCACACATGGTTCCCTTCTCTCACTCCTCCAGGTGCACTGTGGCCAGCTGAGTGACAGTGAGGAGTGGAGCCTGCAGGCTGTGGAGAAGCACGTGAGTGGGGCAGGACCATGGTCGGATGGGGGCAGCTGAAGGGAAGATGGTTCCACCAGGGAGCTGGGTAGAAGATGGGAAGATGGCTCCACCAGGGAGCTGGGGAGACCTGGGTTTCAGCTTCAGCTCGACCACTTTTGAGCTGAGCAAGTCACTCAACCTCTCTGAGCCCTAGTTTCACATCTGAAAATGGGGATAATGATAGCACTGACCTATCTAGGGTAGTGGCAAGACAAAACGGGTTCAGTACCTGGGAAATACACACGGTCGCCAACTTACGAGGGGTTATCATAGGGAGGCAGCCCCGTCCGAAGTCCAGAAGCATCTGTACTTAGCAGGAACTATCTATCTACATAATGATACGGAGGCTGTCTCATGCCTGAGATGTTATGATTTTGAGACTTTAACAAGGACTTACCCCGTGGGTGCTGGAGACAGATCAGGCGGTGTCCTGTCTTGGAAGACTATGGGGCTAGGGGCCGAGACAGACCCCGCACTTTCCTGTTCATGACTGAAGGACGCCCTGGAGGGGAGGGGGGCCGAGGGGTGGGTTGTTTGGGGCGGGCGCAGGGGCGATGGCACCGCGGGCAGGGGGGGGCTTGAGCCAAGGCAGGGGTCCTGCGGCGGCCAGCGCTGCGAGGGCTGGGCGAGGGCCGCG